ATACATTTGATTTTCATGTTTAGTGGTATATATGCTTAGAAGAAAAATATAGGAAAATGGAGCCCCAAGGCAGTCTAAGTAGTCCAGATGAGTATTAAGTAGATAATGTTTGCAGAGTAAAAAGGGTCATCTTGCATTGCGTGAATTTAAAACTTCTCCCTCCACAAAAAATATCTGTATTTTACTATATTTCCTGTGCATAAGTTCTATCTTCTCCTAGACTGGGTTAATATAGAGCAGAAAGATTTTCTTCCAATTTGAATTTAAGGAGAGTCTCATGTACAAAACAAAACTTTGCAAATAATCAAAGTTCTATTCTTTGTTGCTTTTGATTCCAAGAGTCATTAACTGCAGAAGTATCCAACAAAACCACATAAAGACAGACAAGAAAATGAGTACATATCACCATTCTTGTATGGAATAAGCAGTTTGAAATTTCTAAATGATTGACATTATTCTGCTGTCCTCTTCACTGAAAGAAAAAATAAAGGAGACTGAAGTTCTGAGAGATTGTCTAGAACTGAGTTAGAAAAAATGATGCACACTGTGCCTTTGTGTGGAAAGTGTCTCTGCCAGATGAATCGGGTCAATAATCAAATTTCTCTGTTCCTGTCATGAGACACAAGTGACATGCGTGAGATTTTCTTTCTAAGACTCCTAGACAGTATGAAACTCTATGACAAAAAAGGATAAGATGCAGATGATAAAAATAATGCAGAGATATTTTATCTAAGACTGTGCTCATCTTCCTAATACCTCATACCTTTCACTTCCTTGTGAGCTTATACTTAGATTTGCAGAATATATTTAACTGACTTTGACACCAAGATAATTTCCTCATATGAAGGAAATTTTATGCCTAGCACAAGCAGAAGTTGATGCTTAAAGAATCTAAGTCAGGTTGTAAAAACAAACCATTAGTGTTAGGTCTGATGAGTTATTAAAATGCATAGGTCAGTCAACAGAAAAGGTAATTGGTTACTGTCTCATGTTTTTAACTTCCATTTAGAATGGCTGTGCCCTTCGCACATTCCAAAAATAAAGTTAACTATACTTGAGAAAACCCTGTGAGTCTTAAAATCTGGAACAAAAATAAAATCATATTCATTAGATATCTGCAAGAACTTGGTTTCTCAGTTTTCTAAATAGACTTCCATCATTATGGCCTCAGAGGAAACAGCTCTATACATTTGCTGAAAGTTTACCTCTGCCCAGTTGCCCAGGGTGTCTGATGGCAGGGTGACAAGCTGCCACATGAAACAACTTGCAAACATTCCAGTTAGACAGATAGATTTTCTCAGGAGAATGAATTCCAAATGGGCCAATTCAAGATGAAAAAGTGAATGTCCAGATCTCATGCATGGTACAGGCAAGAGAGCTACATTACTGAAACCATTAGAATGAGGGAAGACCTTATCACCCCAAGTGAAAGACAGTAAGAACTTTACTTTTCAGCACAATTATGTAAATCGGATGCTTTTAAGCTTTGATTTCCTCTGGATAATCATGGAGCAGCTGTTGCTAAACAAGGTGTCTCATTATAGAAATTGGTTTTTTTTAAAAATTGTACTAATTATATTGAAGATACAGCCCAGAACTTAAGGTTTGTGTTTTAACACTTGAAACCAAGCAAATTGGGATCTGATTACATTAACTATCACTGGGGTGCCATATTGAAGCTACATTGCTCTGATTAAACAGCAGATATCCTCAAAGTAAGTCATTTCTCATTAAGGTTTCAGGACTCAGAAAACTATTTCTGATTTTGGCTGATAAGAATCTAGAGTACTTCATCTTTGTGGCACATTGCAAATTTCACCTCCATTGAAAATCTGTGGTAAACCTTTACAGTTAGTTTTACAGGAACCCTGGGAGACATTACATACTCAACAGATATTCACATCCTTTTATTTGGCTTCTGGTAATGAACACAGAGAACTGAAAACTCAGACATTTCAGATGATCATGTCACAAAGTCAGTACATTGTCAACAAATGAGAAAAACCTTAAGAATATGAAAGCCCTTGCACACCAAACTTAACATCTCAGACCAGACCAGAAACAGATTTCCAAAGATGGTAATAGTTTCAGAGAGGGAGAAAACCCATCTTCCCAATAATGCTTAATTTTTACATATTTAAATACAAAGAAAAGTAATGAAGGTCAATCTAGAGAACACATTCAGGGACAAATTATGCTGCTAGTGTTTCAGTCAAGAAGCAATAGCGAAATTCAGTGAAATAACAGAGATACAGTCAAAGGTAAATTTGCCTTGTAAATAGAAAAAAATAGATCTATTTGCAAAGATATTTTGAACAAATTTATTTGGGTGAAGCTCAATAAAATAAAAGCTACCACAGAACACTTATTGTAACAATTGTAAGCAAAAAAAAGTACTTTTTATGTACATTTTTAGGATGCTTTTAACTGGGTTTTTTATTATTTTGGTCAGTGCTTCAGTGTAACTCTGATCAGACATCTCTCACACTGAAAAAAATGATGTAAATTATTTTGATTTTGCCTTTTTAATATCTATAAGAGGATCTCATGTTTGCTTGCCCAATCCTCCATGATTTAACATAATATGACACTTTTTACAGGACTGCATGCTCTGTATCACTTCATAATTTATTACCTGTATAAGTACTCAAAATACAGCAAGAGAAAGCAAAATAAAGGACATGTGAAAAAACAACAATTTGCCACTACCTAATTGTTCTGAAATATATAGAAATTCAATTTTCTGAAATGTGTTTTTCATTATTTGAACAAATTGTAGTTCACTTGCATAAAGTATCTTGAAAAAAATTTTGCAAAGATTAGTGTAAGTCATTAGCTTAGTAAGCATATTCAGTAAGTAGAATTAGGACTGAAAGTCAGGTATCAGAGATCTGTTCTATTTTACAAATTGCAATATTACAAATGAGCTGTATGAGAAACTGTAAAACTAGTACAATAGCAACAGTGAGGGTTAAGCCAAGTTTATGAAGAACTTTGCAATCTAAGTATAGCTTAGGTTAGTAAAGGGAAAAAAAAAACTTCTAAAACCCAAAATATTCTTATGGTTACAATCATAATTGCAATGATGGTAGCTGATGCAATGTTAGGCCACAGGCACATACACACACAACTCCATCCATAAAAAATCCACCCTAATTATTGGTTTATGAACAAGAAAATTAGATTAAATTTGTTTATAATATTGAGGTAATGTTTCTAATACCTACTACAGAAACAACACCCAGAAACACAGGAAACATAATTTTATTAGGATATTTTTTAAAAAAATTTTTACTTTCACAATGACTAATCAAGATTAAATCAAAAAACAGCTAAAACAATCTCCAAGACCTAAAGAGCTGTCTATGAAAAAAGAAACAAAGGATACTCAATGTATGTTTTTCATTTTGACTGGGAAAAAACAAAAGCCAAAAGGACATAAAAGAACACAAGTTTCAGTTATTCACCCAAATGCCACATGATGAAGATAAAATGCTTTGTTTAGTCAGGTTTTTGGGTTTGCTTATACAAACTTCAGATACTTCAGATTTGTTTTGTACTTTCAACATACTAAAGTTCAAAAGGCTTGCACCAAAAGGTCACATCACAGAAACACAGCAGAGTGTAAATACTTGGTTACACTGGGTCATAAGAGCTGGTTCTAGAAAACACATCCATACTGCTACACCAGCAGCACTGGAGACAAGAATACTGCAGAACTAAACTAATTCTTGCAGAAAGAGCCACACCACCTCCCCATTGGTCTGAGACAATTTGCCATTTGTTGTAGCTAATGCATAACAAGATAGTTGATTGTGCAGTATTACAAGTATTGGAAAAAGTCTCCTAGATGAAGTAGATTTAGTCCTTCCAAAGCCAGCTCATTTTGGTTTTAGACCAGAGGAGGTCTGGGTGTTACTAGCTAGTGAAAGAGTTCTGCATAATAGTAAAAAATTTTTGTGTCAGATTTTATGGCCACAAGGAGCTAATCTTTCAATTATGATCACCATGATCTTCACCACTGGGAAGACTTTACACTAAATTTCCCTCACGTCCTCTAAAAAAAAAGGAGAGGGTAAAGATACTCAGCAGTGTTTAGGTGCAGTTATCCCAAGCAAATGCTGGAAACTGCCCCTCTCAAGATTTAAAGGACTCTGGACATAAATTAAGAAATACAGGCTTTGCCTAGCTAGATACAAACATGACCACTTGATAAGAAATGCAAACAAATATGAAATAAAAAATAGATTTTTCTTAATTAATTATATGCTCAAGTTTCCGTAAGACATGACCTCCATCTAAGAACACAAAATGAAGAGCTAGAAAAGAACAAATTTTTTTGTTTACTAGAAGACCTTACCGTACTGGTCAAAAGTAAGATAAAACTTGCAGTGAGATTTTTTTTTCCTGTGTTTGTTTACATGATGAAGGTCATGTTATTTTAAGGAATGTCAACCCTTCATTAGATGTAGCAGAGTATGAATTCTGCTCAGGAAATCTGAGTTCTGTTTAATTCTTTTTATCAACCTGTTGTCTCACTGAGGCAGTGATTTGTAGCAAATTCAATAGGAAATTACAAATATGTAGCACTGCCAGTTATCTTTGTCATTTATACTGCTCTTGTAGCTCACAAGATAAAAACACCAACATACAGAGGGAAAAAATTGAAAGATCTCAGTTTATAACTGGTATGGAATGGAAGTCAGGTAACCCTTAAAAAAAAGGTTTCTCTGTTAGGTGAAAACCAATCAAGTCATCATGCTAGCTTTAAAGTCATCCAGTTTCAGCAAACACCTTTGATCTATTTCAGTGTCCTGTTACTAATCTACTGCTGATGAAGAAATATGCAAAATGCAGAAACGACAATGAACAACAGAACCTTGTCATGCCTCTACACAGACACATTACAGACTACAGGTCATAGGAAAAGTTGATTCTCAATCTCATAATACATAAAAAAATGAATTCCAAGGGAAAAGACCTTAATGCTTTCTGCTTACCTGATATGGAACAATATTCCCATGAGCAGTACCCCAGCGTTTTGCTTCAATTTTGCAATTAAGGTAATTGGCTGCTACATGAGTGAGACATGCAACCTGAAAATAGAAAAAAAGTATAGTATTCAGGAAAGCTAAAACTTTATTGACAATTTCTCTGAGATTTCTTTCTATGTGCTTTAGATACATAAGTTAACATATTTATGTCACAAAAGTATCCTTTAGACATTATATATTTTGTATGCTTTTTTACTATGAGAAAAACTCAGGCTACAGTGCTTGTTTAAAAACAACTCCATAAACTCAAAAATTAATATGTTCCCCATAACACCAGAAATACTGGATGTATGTAGCATTAAACTACACTGAGAGATAAGACAGTGTTTCCCTAAATATTTTGCAGAATAGTCAGCTGCAGTAGTGTCTTGTCTGAAGTATAGTGGGAAGCATGACAGATTTGTGGGATAGAACTCACCATTTCCTGAACCTCAATCCTATGCTTAAATCACAAAGACTTTTTCCTCAGTTACAAGATTATCTTTTCATTTTCTCCTATGCTTCTCATTTTACATGTCCAAGCTATGGAATATATTTCTGAATTCTTCAGCTCCCCACATATTCTGTAATATTAATTAAGTCATGGGCCTTGAGAAATCATCTGTCATTAGAAGATAAGGAGAGATTTAGCAAATTATTAGTCAGACATAGTTGGAAAAGTATTAACTTTGAAGGAAATATAGCACACTAACTTAGGAACCAGAATGTGAGCGTATAAATATATATAAGTATGATTATATCTTAGGAAAAAGAAAAGAAAGTTTGTGATGCAGTAATGCATGAAAATCAGTGGTTCTTTTATAATCCATGGCAATTCCTTATTCTTTATTCTTGAAGGGAATACAGTGTTTGATGATATCTGAAGCCAAGTAACACAATAAAGCATTACAGTTTCCATGGAAGGTTATCACTCATTCATCAGACACAGTGCATTTGTTTTATTCTGTTAACTAGCTGCACCAGTTAGTGCAAGTTCTTGCCTCAACAGCAGACCATGTGAACAATTTTTTCCAAAAATATTATTTTCTCCATATTTCTCCCATTAGATGAAAGAAATTTGCTTTGATGATCAAACTGTTTATAATATTTTGTGCCTACTAGTCAGTCTAGTCTACAACAAAACACACAATTAATTCAGAGTCCACCATTCATATTCCAATATGTGAATTACATCAGAATTCCCAGGAATCAAAAGCCATTTCATTTCCTTGTTCTTTCTCCAGATATTCTGAAAAGAAAATGTGAATGTGTCACTGTCACATTTAAAGAAAATATTTAACTGTAAATCATGCATGCAGCAATTTAGTACAGCAGAAAAATTAAGAAAATATATAGCAAATAAGTGTCTAACTACTGACAAAAATTGTATTTGTATATACTAACTAGAAACACAATTCTTTATTCCTGAGTACTTTTGGAAAACATTTTGTAGCTGGATTTCAGGTCCAGCTGTTTATAGCCCAGTGTTACTTCATTTGGCTAAAATGTTGAACCATGTCTGCTCTTTGGTCCCCAGGAAAATCTCAGAAGTTAAGGAAATGGAACTGGAAGTATCTAGAAAGAATTTTTTCCCTAGTCTGCAACTTTTCTCAGCAATATAGAATGAAACACCATGATTATAGACAGAGTTAATGAGTTACAAGAGTGTGTCATTTATTAATAACACATAGCCTTGACCCATCGTTCCGGCCATTTTTTCACTTTGGGGTCATACTCCACAGTGATACTTTCTCTACCACAGCAAACGGCTCTGCAGTAATGATGAAATTATCTAATTATTCATTAAATATTCTTCTGTATTTGCATGCAACACTACACAGCTGACATATTACACACAAGTTTCACTGACAGGTGAGATGAATCCATTACAACCAGCTTTTACTTCTAAAGACCAAGAATATGCATTTAACTTTCCACGTTTTCCTTACAGGAAACGCTGTATCAAACTTAACTCCAGGAAGGACATAGTGAATTAAAACCTAGTGAAACAGAATCCCAAAATATTGATATTAAATGTAATTGAGCCAAGATTTCATGATATCCATTTGTTTCTACATTCTATACTATAGAATTAGGGATTGGAGTTTCATAAACAGAATTCTTCACAAAAAGACTTTTATCCCTAAAAATATATTTTCTTAACACAGTGTTGCAAATTGCTTCAGCTTCCTTGATGAGACGAATGTACTATTTTCAGTAATGGAAAAAAAATACACATTCGATTTCTTTAAAGCATTTGTTCACAGTACATTAAGAAAAAAGGGATTAAAACATAATGCTCACTAGATATTGACATTTGACCACTAAAGCAGCTGCTTCATACTTATTTCAGTAGCAAGAGACCAAAAATGCCAGGGAAGTCAGAGCATAGTAAAGATGGCGATGTTGGAACTAACAGTTGCTTGGACCATATCAAGGTCTCAGTTCACCTTGGTACTTAGTATGAAGAATAATTCCATTTCAGTCAATGTACTGACCACTTGCTTGAATGCATATGCCTATGTAGCCTGTAAAACTGGTTTGCTCATTTTTGTTTTATCAATAAATCATGAACGAAAAAGGTTTTTGGCTTCCTCTGACTTCCTTCTCTGATTTGAGTCAGAGCCAAATTAGCCAGAAAAAAATTATTATTAGCAGTAGCTGTAGTATCATCACCAAACAAATAAGCTTATATAGACCAAAATAAAGTAAATATGTCAATGTTTTGTGTTTTACGTGAAAATACACCATTCAGTGAACTCTGTGGCCTTTTGCCACATTCATAATAACTTTCTGACAAGTTCAGCAAACTTAAAGACAATTCTATTTCTACTCTCCCATGAAACTTTCCCTTACCATGCCTTTCCCTGTCCTATCTTCCTGGCTCAGTTCATTGTCTTTGGTCTTTCCAAAGTTTTAGTCCCACTAAAAAGGCACGGTCCAAAAAAACTTTTCAGCATATACAATTTATGTAATTAATAAAGAACACAAATAATTGATCTACCTATATCTTACAGCTGTTAAGCAAACTGCTGAAGTACAAGCATAAAAAAGATATCCCAAATGAACATTTTTATAGACATTATATCCTTTAGAAAAAAATGTTTGTAACAATGTAAGTCTATTTCTCCAAACTCCCCTGTAATTCAGGACTCAGGACCTCACTGATAGAGACACTTCTTGCAGTAGAAACACCTATAAAACAATCAATCTCTCAAACTGGAGTTTAGGTACATCTGCATTACATATTCAGCTAAGTACTTTAAAATCTATACTTAAAACTGTTTTCCTGAAACCTTATAGACCCATTTATTTTCTCCTTTAATTAAGAAATAATCTCAAAAGTAACCTTTGAACTTACAACATTAAAGCAGATATAATGCAATGATACAGACATCTCTGTATTCCTTTGCTTGTAGAGACAGATCTATGCACTGTAAATATGCATTATCAAATATCTACAGATAAACGTTTCTTTATTTCACATCAGTAAAGGGAACACGTATTTCAACATTCCTTTCTAATGTTACTGTTGATGGCCAAATCCCATATTTGTGTAACAGACTTACTTAAATCAGAACAAAAAGAGAGCTGCATTAAGGTCTGAAAAGTTATGCTGAGATTACGATGAAATCAGACAGATGGGAAACAAGATATTAAAAGCCACAAGGTCAGCAGACAAAGAAAAGAGACAGAATTTCAAAAGATTTTTTTTCAAAATAGCACATCAAACATAATTTATTACAATGAGTTTGCTGAGTCAATCAATCATTTACATGCAATTTCAACTAGTGTATATGAATAACAAAAGAAGACAGGTAACTGGAAAGAGAAAATAACATTTTAATTATATTCTTTACTTTCTTCTCCCTCCAATTTTGTGTCTGCTGTCTTGCCACATACCTTAGCAATGCTTTGACTCTAAGCCAAGTCAATTTATTTCTGTCTCATTCTTTGTTTGCTTTTTCTTAAAGTAAGCATGTAGACTTATTAACTTCGAGACTCAGGCATTTTTACACTGGCATAGGTAACTTATTTTATGCAATGTTACAGAAGTAGCAACACAATTATTAATTTACAGCTTTGTAAGAAAAAAAATCATTCCAGAAAATTCCATGGCCTTCTGTTGTGCAGAGGCCAATAATCTTCCATTTACACCTTTCCCATACTTCTGGTGACATATTAAAAAAATATTTACACGAGAAAAATGTGAACATAAGATCACAATCCACATTTGGTGCACACTATAAAAGGTCTCTTAAAATCACTGATCCTATGCTAGTATTTACCTAATGACTTATTTTACTGGTTTATGTTTTCCCTAATAAGTATTTTGACACTGGTAATATTTAAGTTTGGCTAATTTTGCTTTGCAGTTATCCCCTATTGTCCTTATAGAAGCTGCTTCCATGTACAGGTGCATCAAGTGACTCTCAGCTCTTGCTTCTTGAGTAATTTTTTCATTATATAAAAACACAAAAACTCCACATCAAAACCCAAAACCTCTATCTCTACCAGGCAACCCCCACTCTACCAGCTAATTACACAATTCCTAAGCATCGACCCAGCTGTTTCAGGATGTGGCACTATACCACAGTGGACTGATAGAACAGCAGTGTTCTATCAGTTTTTACACAGGGAATTGTGTTTCAAACTCTTGCAAGAATTAACTGGGCAGCAGAAACCACAGCCTTGTGCAGAGGCAAGAGAGCTGCCACAATTCAAGGCAGCCCATCATGCAGGGGTCCAGCAGGAAACCCAGGTTCCTGCTACCAGGTGCTACCAACAAACATCACCTTACATTGAGGCTTGTAAGGGCCGCCCATCTAACCTGAAGTTGAGAGATTTGCAGAAGGTAAAAATCAGTTCAAGAGTGGCATACACCTATAGGCAGGGCAGACATTCCCACCTGCAAGTACACAGCAAAGCCACTGCCCACAAAGAAGCAAGATTTTACTGCTTCATCCATGGTGTTCCTTCATCAAAACAGCAGGTCTGGCCTGCAAAATTTAAATTAAAAAAGTAAAACTACTATCATGTAAGCCAAGGCTTAATAATATTAAAGAGAATTTTTGAAAAACGTCTGTGGTCATGTAATGTACACCGTGCTCCAGTTTTGTGTTTTCTACTCAGTGACACCGATTTCTCTTAATGAAAAACTCCAGGAAATTATCATTAATTCACCCTTCACAAAAGAAAACTCCTGGCACTGAAGTATCCATAAATGGCATAATTCTGGCCACAGCTATAGTCTTGTTAAGATAAAATGAGATCTTTAATGACAAATAACTAGAATTTTAAAACAGACCTCCTATAGTGCCCTGTTCTTGTACGTTCCAACCAGACACGTAGGCAGGTATACAAATCCATGCTAGCAGTCACATGCAGCATGGGGGATTTGCTGATTCAAGTTAGTCACCTGACCAATAGCACACAGTAAATGACAGTCACACAAAAGATGCCCTAGAAAGTGTTAATTGAACAAGAAACAATAAAACCCCCCAAGCCACTCAATAAGAAAATAAGAGGTAATGTATTTGTAAAACTTATCTAGAATACAAATTCTCAAAGGTTAAGATAGATAAAAAGAGCAAACAGACTTTAAGGTATACAGTTGTATAAATACTTTTTTTGCCTGAAAATTATGTCTGATAACATCTTTTACTTTATCAAAAATAAGTTTAGACTATATAGATAAAGAAACGGAAACATCTTCAAAAACGCAATGCATCTGCATCACAGAGAACTGCTACGTTCAGTGAAATGAAACAACAAAAAAAGAACTGATCTAAAAATTCTTTTTAATGAGCTATTTAGAGCTCATAAAAGACCAGAATGGATTCTTCCCATAGCATAGAGATCAGCTCCTGATTAAGATTCAATTAGCATTAACAATAGCAAAGATTGATGCAACTAACAGATGTAGGACTTGTAATTACAAAAGTATGTTTCAAGAGTAAGTACATATTAAATGGACTCCTATCTTTCCTTAGTCTCCAATTAAATAGGCAAACAAACAAACAAAATAAACTTCTACACACTCAGATGAATTTTAGGTGGAGGATCAAAAATAAAAATCCTGACCATAGAAGCTATTATACAGCACTGGCATTAGAGAGAAAAAGGAAACAAAAAAAAAATTATTTCTTTTAAATGAGTTCCAGTTGAAGAAAGACACATTCTAAAAGGAAGAATAAATTTAATTTTCTTGATTATGATAAAATACTAGGGGTTTTTTTTTTCTGAAAC